CTCGACCTGCTGGCCGTGGAGCGTACCTGCAGTCGCTCCTGCGGGGGGTTTCCGCGCCGGCTTCGCATGCTCTGCGCGGTTCGAGGGGTTGCGCTGGCATGCCGTGCTGGTGCGCTCCCTTCTGCGCAAGGCTGGTTTGTCGCGCAACTAGTGCCGCGCGTCCCTGCGCCCCGCAGGATGAGTCAGTTGTCAGCACTAGAAACTGGCGTCTGAATGGCGCCCGTTGTTTGTCCATGCGGAAGGAGCTGCGCTGACGCGGCCGGCCAGCACCGGAGGGTTAGCTGTTGTAAACTCGTCATTTGAGGTCCTGTATGTGGGGTCTCACCCCCTCCCCCGCCCGCCCTCCCTTGCTGGATTAAAAAGTGGTCGTTGACCAGTGGCCTGTTGTGGCATTCTGTACGCAAGGTGGTCTGAAACTCGCCTTGCTCTGGGGAGATGCCTCCAGCAATATTATCGATGGCAGTTGGCTCACGAATGCCACGCCCATTACAGCCTTGTGCACTTGAAGCCTGCGAACTGAGAGCTGCACACAGACAACTTGGTTTTGGATCGGACATTCTGGTCGAAATAAAACGGCTCCCCGGCTCGAAAGCTCCGCGCCAGCCGCCCGGTCTTCCTGTGCTGGCCTGCCTCCAGCCCGCCACGGCGAGACCGGGTCTCGGCGATCTCTCCCTTCCCCATGTGTCGTGAGTGCCGATGATGCTGGAGAGTGACGCCGTCACGCGCCGCCCGGCGCGGGCTGGTGGTAACGGGACCGGTCGTGTTCGACTACCAGCTGCAGACCTACCTCTGGGGTGTGACGTCTGCCGTCTGCTGCCGAGGCCGCTGGCGGTCCCCTCCAGCACCCCCGCCAGCACCGCCACGTCACTGGCGGGCGACCATGAGCCGGCGCGCTGCAGGGTGGGGGCGCGTAAGCGAGCGACCCCGGCCCCCAGGGTGTCCCGGGCCACCAGCTGTGCCGGGTCACCAGCCGTAGAGGGTCAGCAGCCGTGCTGGGTCACCAGGCAGGGGTGTGGTGGGATCCGGTGCGGCGGCGCACGGCCACGGTCGGGGCGCTCGCTGAAGCGCAGCCCCGGTGCCGGATGCGGCAGGCTCCATTGCGGTGGGTGGTGAGAGTGGCTACTGGCCGCCTTGGTGGGGACGTGGGAGAACAGACGTGCCGGGGGGAGGCGCGATCGTGGGACTGCCCATCGTCCCGAGAAGCCGGTCTGTAGGGCCGCTGCGATGTCGCGAACCGTCCCGCGTCATGTCGTGTCGGGACCAATGAATTAGTACTTGGCCTTAGAGCGCACCACAGGTTCACATTTCTGTAGGCGGCAGTGGAATGTGGCTCAGGTGAGTTCAGATTATGATCCAGTGTGACGTTTGGAGCCTGCCGGAGGGTTTGTAGAACGGTGGGTGGAAACGTATATGAATGGACTGGAATCGCAGACTTTTTTCGTTGCTACGTTGCAAGTTAGAGAATTTCACCCGTTTTCATATAGCTATATATATATATATATATATATATATATATATATATATATATATACGTATATGTTTTGTATTTCGAGCCCGTCGCTCTTTGCGTTTCGCTTCAGCTGTAAAGTTGTAGCCTCAGCGCGGGACGGACGAGAAGTTGGCGCATCGAAATGCCACCAAGTTTTTCTTTGCCACCCTCTAGCTCATTTGGTGGGGCGCCGTGTACGGTGTCCAGCATGTGGCAAGCATTGTGGGCTGGCGTTTCAGAAACAGCGCTTACGTGGCCCGTTGTTCCGCTTAGGTAGCATCTGGCCAATATAACGAAGCTGAAACGGAGCCGGCCGTGTCTTGGAATTACGTGGCACGTCAAAATATGTGCGCAAAACCCATCCATCTAAAGGGCATCACTCTGCTGAGTAGATAGGCACATGGTAGCAACAATCTGTATTTAGTTGGAACTTCGGTCCCGAAGCCATGCTGAGTAGATAGGCACATGGTAGCAACAATCTATATTTAGTTGGGACTTCGGTCCCGAAGCCATGATTTCAAAACATCCTGTTAAGTTGGTCGAAGTTGTACGAAACGTCACAAATGCACGAATGAATGCAACCCACGCTGAAGGCCGCGTCGTTTCAAGCAAACCGAAAGTATATTCCTCTGGCTCTCTCGCTACGCAGAACCGGGGTATCCGAAGGGACTGCGTGATATTTTCCACGCAGTGCCAAGAGTGCTTAAGGTCAGCCAAGGTCAGCAAGGTCGCCCGATGCAGGCTGGCTTTGCGTGACCAGTCACCACTTCACACCTCTGCGTGACCGACAGGACAAACAGCTGGCTATCTCGTGGACTCTGACCTTGCGATGGTAGGCTCCAGTCCGCGGTCCGATCTCCTCGTAAGACGCTCGTCATGCCGAATTGACAGAGGCCGGGTAATGTGTCAGTCATGGATGCCATTGATGCCGGCGGCCATTGGAATTATTATTTTATCCAGCAGTGACCCAGCTTACGATTTGGATTTTCTGGCACCGCGAGTACCTGGTCATATGGCGTCCGTGTGGTTGACTTAAACAAGACGCGTGTAGCATCTGGTGAGCGCCTTTGTTCGGGCTGAAAGGAAATGTTTAAACGGTGCAGCACGCAGTGTCGCCCGGGTCATGTTATTGATATGCTTATCTAGTGATATTGTGCTGTATTTGCCTTGTGGCTAAGCTTGAGAGAAGACAGGATAATCAGACCAGAAGATGAAATTATCCTTCTGCTTAGAGTACACGATTACCACAAAGCTGAATGATATTTTTGCCTCGAATTTTGTCGTTAGATTAAAAATTAATTATTTGAATATTAATGTCATGAACGATTACCATTTTTTGTCCTTAATCTAATGCTTTGAGACGATGTTTATTTTTTCCTCTAATAACCTGCCAGAGAGTTGTCAAGTTTTGCGCTTAGTCAGTTACCAAGGCTGAGAAGAAGCTAAATTATTTATACGCTGCGCTTCGTACGTTTTAATTTGGACATGCGACATTTGTCTCGAAAACGCCTTAATCACTCCGAGGTTCTTCAGCCAACTTCAAAGTCAAATGCACAGAAAGTTACGGCATACACGCCTGATCCTTGTAATGTCTTCGATTTTACTAGGCGTCTTCTGTTGACGCTGCAATAATTCCGTAAGATTTGACCTTAAAATACGAGCCCAGCAGAAGATGAGTACCGCAAAGTGGAGCCTCCATCGTGGCGTCGCTTTGGTCCGTAGTGATATGACGGAAGACAAAGCGCAAACGTGGGGGTATACATGGATGTCGGGATTTGTGGGGTTCAAAAAAGTTTTTTATTGAAAAACTTTTCTTTGGAATTTTTTTTGAAAAACCATTCGTTCTTAAACATGCGTAAATAGCACCTTTTTGGCGTCAGTCCGTGTGATGCTGGAGCGGACCTGCACAGTGTTCACAGCGGGAGCCAGTATTCACAGCGGGAGCCAGTATTCGCAGTCGGGCCAAGTAACGTCCAGTGGAGTAAAACCACACTCCTGTGCGGTGTACCGGAGCAAAGCTACACCACGTGACCTCACAGGCCAAGCTGTACGTACTGAAGCGCTGTAAGGGCAGTACAATGCCGCCGCTGTACCGTGTACCGAATTCGCAATGGAATGGCTGGCTGGCATCGAGCGCACCTGCAGCCACGACCGTCGTGACGGAATGAATCAGCGTAACAGGATGTGCTGTGACGCAAGGGCCGACCTCGGCGGTCAGTGCCAGTCGGGCGCGCCATTTCAAGGATGCCGTTGCAAATGTCGGTGGACGGCGGGAATGTCAGCCAGGCGGCGCGCGGATGGGCCGCGGCCCGCCACAAGACCTTTCAGGGCGGCGGCCGAGTGGCGCCGGCGACAGCGGGACACGCAGAATTGGCTTGTGGGCGGTCGTAACGCCGTTATGTCGGATGGTGACCGGTTGGACGCTCGGCGTCTCGGCCGGGGAGACCGCTCCCGCGTGATGGTCTGAAGTGCGCCATGGGCTGAGTGCCGCTTACGCTGTGCCCGACGGAGGCTTTGGTACCAGCGTCCGGCGCGGCGGGGTTCAGACCTCCCTTCGCTCAGTGTCTAGCGTTGAGCAGCATTGTAAGAGGGCGCGGGCACGTCATTGGATTGGTAGCCCGCGAGTCGTTGCGAGCATGAATGACAGTCATAGCACGCTCTCTCTGGCGTCAGATCGGAGCAACATACTGATTATGAAGGGAGATGTGGTGTTATGAGCAAACAGCAGCGGACGTCTATCGAAATGAAACTTTGACTTTGTAAAAATATGATTTAGGGATGACATTTTACATAAATCTACCAGTTAATTACTACACGTCGCAACATAATTTCACGCTGCATAAACTGTTTGTGCGTGACGTTCGTCGAAGCCTTTCGGAACACTACACACATTAAGCACGCTGTTGATCAGTTCATCGCTCAAGACGCCACTGGCTGCTGTATCCCGGCTGGAGCTTGGGAACGTCGCCGCGTGATGCGATGTGCCATTAGATGGCCCGATGCGACTGGGAAAGACCACGGCTGTTGCACACGGACTAGGTTGTGAATGTAAATGCAAGGCTGTTATCTTTTTGCACACGGTACGCGTTTGACGTGACTCGCTCAGCACGACCTGGCGGCCCTTTAACGTCTCGGTCGTCACCATACGTAGGCATCAGCTCAAAGAAAAGTGAACAACATGGCAGCACGCTTTCCATATCATTGGAGAATGCCTGCAGTCGTCATGAAAGCGCAGGCGTTCGCAGGGTTGGCCGGTTGGTGATGGTTGGGCGGGGCCGACGCGGTAGCACGTGTGTATTGCGCGTACCTTTTCGCGCTGAGCGTCCCCATGTAGGCGACGACTTCACGTCACCCGCTCATTAATTGCACATTTTAATTGGCGCTAATGCTTCCAAACGACTGTGAGCGCGACGTTCAAGGCCTATTACGACCGGTGCATCGCCTCGCAGCCGATAAACAAACTGCTGCCGTGGTGACGAGGCGTGACGGAGCCCGCTGTCCGCAGGCTACCTGCTGACCAAGACGGAGGGCAAGATCGGCTCGCCGGAGAAGCCGCTCTCCGACCTCGGCCTCATCTCGTACCGCAGCTACTGGAAGGACGCCCTGCTGCGCTACTTCGCCGACTTCCGCGGCAAGGTGGTCAGCATCAAGGGTGAGTGGCGCCCGGTCAGGGCCTCGGTTGGTGTGGGTCACAGCGCTGGTCCGGTGAGGGTCACGATGCTGGGTCGGCGCGGGTCGCGATGCCGGGTCGGCACAGGCCGCGGTGCCGAGTCGGCGGTGGTCGGAGAGCGACCGCTGCGCCGGGGCGACACCAGGCGAACGCCTCGGGTCGGCTGTGTCTCCGGCTGTGTTTCATGGTCGCGTCGTTGCGAACCAGTGCATTAGTCCATTGGATTTTGCATCTCAGCCGAATGCATTAAGGTGCACTTACGCTATTCGCGGTTTAATGGGGTCGGGCGATCGGGCAAGCCCTGTCCTTTTATGCATGCTCGATCAACGGCGGCTGGTTTGGGTTTAGATCCGTGCGGATTATGAGGAAAGGCGAGGCATGGAAAGTGCGGTATGACAAATATATAACGTTCGCGTCTGAATTGAACATGAAGTATGTTCTGTCGTTATCTTCTATCTAGTAAGCTCTTAAAGACGTGTGTACTTGGCAGCCGTTCACGTTTTTGTTTTGCCTTCTTCCGAATGGTTTGCGTAAGTGGCTTTAGGTTCAGGGTGCCCGCTAAGCGTAGCTTGTTGCGTGTGCCCGGAGCCCAGCCAAGATGTGCTGTCCATTCCGGCGGATAGCTTTGCGTCCGTCCTGCTCGTCGGACGGCGCCGCGGGAGGCTTAACGTGACGCGCAATGTTGCGGCGCGGCCGCCCGGGCCTAGTTGTTTATCAAAATGTGGATCCACTGAGACCTGCATGGAGACAACTATTATCAGCGGGTGTCGGGCTGCATCAGACGTAGCAGCACCGGACGAAGTTTACATGTCGCTCACATCTGATGAGTCAGGTAACCAGTGGAGAGGCCCTGTTGCCTGAATGTAGTCCACTACTGGGCATTTTAAGCCCCCGAAGAGACCATCAGACAGGCTCGCGTGCTCCACTCTCGCCCTTCGCCACTCATCTTCATGGAGCCCTCAGCGATGCATACTTGCATGCGTTCTATGCCAAGGTATGTGGCGATGGGATGCATTTTCCTCTCATCAAACGCTGCATGCAAACCTTGAGCGGCTGTCGTCGCCGGTGGTCCCTCGCCAGATAGCCGTCGGACAGCCGGCCGGCGCACTCGCCCGCCGTTGTGACCTCCGAAGGCAACAGCGGGCGCCGGTATCGCCCCGTCCCGCCGCCGCGACCGATAGACGCGGACTTTCCGCGCTCCGTCGGCTCCAGGGTCGCCCACTTCCGGCAGGGCCCGGCCGGCTCCGGGAAGCTCGACGCGGCCCGCCCGCGGCGCCGGCGGCTGCGGTGACGCCCGCGGGCGCGGCGCGGCAGCCGCGGAGCCCCCGCGGCGCGTTCGGCGCGGCGCCGTGGGCGTCGCCCCGCGGGCGGAGGCCCAGCGACCCGGATGTCACGCGGTCGGCATGCAGCGGGCTCAGCAGACGCCCTGGCTGCCGACGGGTCGGCGGTGCGTCCGTTTACAGAACGCGTGCCGTTTTTGTGGTGGCCAGCCGTGAAGAGTATGCCGGGCCACGTGTACATCCCTCGGAGGGTGTCATTTCTCTTAGCGATGAGCGGGAGCATTGCGCAAATGCGATGAGCGGGAGCATGGCGCAAATATCCTCTTACTGTCCGTAAATATCAAAGGATCACCTTACGGTCACGTTACAGCAACGTGTCAATCTCTGGTTATGTGCCGTTGGAGGCGGTTTGTGTTAGGCTACGCTGGTCACTCCAGGAAGCGTCACTATGGGCCTGGCCACATTGGCGGTGCCCTGTCGGAACAGCATTTCAGAGCGGAGCATTGGACAAAGCCCGATGGATTAAAAAATATCGCGTTTTCAGGTGGATCGGAAATAAGTTTATCACTCAGTTTTGTTACCAGCGGGTATCATATTTCCATCGCTTGTCTTGTCTAATATTTTGTCTCATGAAGACGTCCAATAATGTATGCCGCCGTGTTTGGTGGCCGGCAACAGTGTGCGTGATATGACCTAACGAGCTGGTCTAAACCGCTTAGCAGAAAATACAACGAAAAATGCTTACAACAGGCGCTGACGGTAACTTGGTTATGTTAGACCTCGTTTGAAGCGTTTCTTGGGCCGCTGAAGCCGCTGCATCAGCAGCACACGAAGCGGGGTGACCATTTTCAGTGTGGAACGATGCCTGCCTATGTGTGTCGGGAAACCTCTATTTTCCTAATCCGTGAAAAAATTAGGTTGTGTCCCTCGATACACCTATACTTAACAAATGTTTGGTTTGATGACAGCAAAAATATATCATTAATGTGTTTTGTAAGCGAACCAGTTTTGTTGCGAAAATGGAAGATTTACGAAAGAAATGAAAAAAGAGGAAAGATAATTAAAATTGATGAAAAAAGAAACTTGATGAAAAAAAATGATGAAAGGTTATTTGAAATCATGGACATGTGACAGACAAGCACCTCACCGCTTACCTCGTTTGTCTTTTCGCATAGTGCGGTTTTCAGTTACTTGCGATGATGTACTGTGACATCGATTACAATCTTGTATTATGTGTCGCAGCTCTGTTAGGATCTGTTACTAGCCAGTTTCTCAAAGCGAAAGCATAATCTTGCGCCAAATATTAATGTGCGCTTCCGATTTTACAAACTACACGTCAAGCCAGCTTCTCAAAGCCGTCGTCACGTGACATTTGTCGTAGTTTGTACATGTGATAGTGGCGTAGATATGTGCGCCCCGTTGCCAAGACAACGACCGCCAAACTTCAGATGACTCTACCAGCCATAAACATGCGTCTTATGTTTTGAGTATGTGTTACCCGAACTGCCATCGATTAAGACAAAATAAAACATACGTTTCCACTTGTTTGGCTCAACATCGAACCAACCACATTAGTTTACGATTTTAGAGATGTTATCTCCAGCTACAATTATGACGCTTTGGTTGAAAAACAACGCTTATCAGGACATGAAAACAAAGGGACAAGTACCGATAGTGCAGTGGTTAACGCGTCTGGATACGGGGTATGATTACCCGCGATACCCGCGTTTCCGGCAGTGTGGGAGGCAGTTGACGCCATAAAGCCTAAGTAGCTGAACGCGTCCTAAATCCCCAACGACGACCATCAACAAAGGAAGAGTACGGTTGTCGGTGTTCAAGAACACCAGAGAGAGTGGGGACAGCACCCCGTCCGCAAGGAATTTGTGTGATGTCATTGGCCGTCGACTCGCCCGTGGTGGTGTGCACCCACCTCTCAGCAACACCATTTAGTTGCGTCGACCGCTGTGCGTTTTTTTTTTTTGCCATCGACGCGCTGTGTTTGTAAGTCTACGTGCTACGTAATAAACAGAGCAGCACGTGTCGTAGGTGTATGTGACATTGGGCAGTTTCGTGCAGAACTAGGGGCTTAGTTTGGTGGCAATGTTGTCCATAATTGAAAAATTCTGCGAAGAAAGCAATTTTCCATTCCTCAGTTCTCCAGTGCTCAATTCCATCCTAAAATGTTCCACCCATGGAGGTTTTATTCTGTATAGCGATTGTTGACGAGACCATGTGAATGGTAAGTACATAATGTCTGCGCTTATTAGGCATATGTTGGGCATTGAAAGTGAGCCTGTCAGATTTAACCTTCAGAGATTAAGGGAACATGTGACGTAAACCTGAGCTGTCATTGAACACTGAAAAAGGGCCATTCATGGATCCAATCACAAGCAGCCTGCTGTATCTGTCATTGGGAACATGTTCCTTCTGCATGACTGACCACCGGAAAAAGGTTTCTCTTATATGACACTATGCAGGCTAGCTGCTGCCCTTTGGCGCAGTGATGCACAATATGTATGCAGTTATGTTATCCAAACGAAGTCAATTTTATAGTAAAGTTATTGTGTCATGCTAAGGTATCTTATTAACATTTATTGAACAGCACATTGTTTTCACCCAGGGTAGGCACTGCAGGCAATGATGCTGCCTGTATCTCACTTTGAAGGTGTCTGGAATGCAATTGACATGAACATGGAATGTATTGTATTCATGACAAGTATTGTGATAGCCACACAAATCTCTTTCAACTGGGATGTATTTTGATGTGCTTGCAAAGGAAGCTTCTTAACCAGGCAGTTTTGCCTGATCTTTTGATCTTAGCATGCTCACCTAAGGCTTCTTGTCTGAAAGAATGGAACACTCACTACCACCTGCCCACACGTAAGTGCTATGCTCTTTTATTCTTTTTGTAGCTGTTGCATGTCGTTTAGGCTTGTCACTTCAGCAGTTTGTCTTTTAATGAGCAGCAATCCTGAGGTCGGTATTATAATCTACGACACAAATGCTTGCATTGATTGCATTGCCAAATTCATCAAGGACTTATCAAGATCAAGCTCTGTCGTACATTAGTTCTGGGCTTTGAGATACCCATGTAAGATTGTTTGCGTATACTTGTGTCGTAGATCGTGCATTTTATTTACATTTTTCAGTGTCGTAGATTGTAGTTGTAAGTTGTATATTTTTGCTTTGATAAACTGGATTATGCGATTATACGCCAAAAATCTTCGAAGTTCTGTTTTGAGAAACTGGCTACTTGTGTTATTTGTCGCAGCTCTGTTAGCACCTCTTACAGCCTTGTTTATGGCATGTCTAGACGAAACGACTGGAAGCGATCTTGCATAAGAAATCACCTTTTTGTTTGGTCTCAGAATGTTTCAAGTGGTCATCTGTCTGTTGTAGAACCTGTCCTCACGTGGTGATGATTTGAAAAGTACTTAATTAGTTTGTGTGAAGGGAATGGGTCCTGTCAAATCATTTCTTATCTTCATTTTGATATGCACGAACAAAACAGCATTTTGATTCGAAAAAACAGCTTGCCGTCTCGTAACAGACTTCGGACTTTTGCCACTTATGTGCCTTACCTGCGGCTGCAATGTCATGGCCAAAGCAGACAGTGCACTAACACTTGGGCCCATGCAACGAAAGCGAGCAATCTGTTAGGGTCATGCTGTGGAAAAATGTGCATGCGATGGTTGCAACATC